AAAATGCATATTTAAAATACAGCATTTACACAAGGTGATATTAAAACATCCGGCCAATTCTGACCTACGAGACACTATAAAATCTACATATATGCATTTCATTTTTATCATTAAGAGCTGGTTACGTCATATATATTAATTACAATTGCCAATCATTATATTCTAGAGTTATTAAAACATTGTCTCCGTCTATACATTTTATAAAGAACAGCTGGTAATGAAAATTGTAAAACTGCTTCATTCATTAAAAAAATGAGTTTGTTGGGAGTTAGATGTTAAGAAAAAAGGGATTTAAAATCGTAGCTTGGTCAAACAATGTATTCCTGATATCATCATTAATATCACAATCAAATAAAAAGTGAGTTTCATCTTCTATACAATAAAAAATAATGATCATATGTACATAGATTATAAACTCTTTCACGTTTAAGGAACGTTTACGTTTGGTGGTACCAGTTGCTATATTTAGGTTCAAGTTTCCACATCTAAATTTTGCTAAGCATTTACGATGACGTCTTTTCAAACTGTTGGTGACATACGTTGGTTTCATGCTTTCATGTTTCATATCCCTGCACAAATCTATATTTGTTGAGTCCCCAGGTACCCGATATTTATAAAAGATATCGTACTTGTACTGTTAGATAAATTGAAGATTAGTATCCTTTTATTCTTGAATGTAGCATGTATACCATCACGGAATTAGATTAGTCCGTGATAACACTTTAGTAAAAATTGTAATATGAAATATTACCTGACATATCATTTTGTCTTTAAGCTAATTCAATTACTTAAAGTTGAAACTGTTACATTTGAAATAATTAATTAAGAAAAATATCTAACACAACTGTTTCAAATAATTCAATAGAATCACTTTCTCTACATTTACTACAATAACATGTACGTATGCCATGCTATAACTTTGTATATTTTTTTTGACTGATGGGCCATAAGGCCAAAAGTAATCAAACTTGAATTGAATGAATATTTTTCTATTAAAAATAGATAAAATATAAAACCAGTAATGTCACGAAATGTATATGTTCAAATTCGAATCTACAACCAGAGAAAATATGTGCTATTTATAACCAGAGACATACATGTATATATTTTATAATATATACTTCTCTTTTAATAAACCTTATTGAGGTTGTGACACTAATTAAGAAATAACACCAGTCTGTTATCTGGAGTCCAGCTTCATTTTGGACTCGGGCCACTATCCTTGGTCCGTGTCCTGGGGCTATTTAATAGCAATCCAGGTACTCTTTATGTGTACGAGAGTATGAAGTGTATAGTCTCTGGTGTATTGGCAAATAAATATATCTGGGATATAATAAAGACGAAAGACGAATTGAAGTTCATAAATTCATTGAAATGTTAAAAGTTTGTATTTACATGACCGATTTGCAAAACATTTAGTATACAAATGTATTCAGATATGTAACTGGTACACTAAGTGCACATACCTTTTGAACCAGTATCTGCTTGTGAGATGTAAAATTACTAACAATAATTCAATGTTGGGTTAATAAAAATATATTCAAACCGTTTAGAACGTTACTTGAGTCAGAGACGTATATATTGCTGCCACAGATAAGTAAGTCCGTATGTAAATATACCATTTTAACAGTAACATTTATCTAAGTCCGTGACTGAACCAAGCTCTGCCTATCGTGAGGCAGACTTAACAATCTAATTCCGTGACTGAACCAAGCCCTGTCTATCGTGAGACAGACTTAACAATATAAGGCCGTGACTGAACCAAGCTCTGCCTATCGTGAGGCAGACTTAACAATCTAAGTCCGTGCAAGGACGTTATTCAAAGAAAGTGTAGTATATACGTCTCTGGTTTTTTGAAAAGCTTCCGACGGATATATTTAAAACTTTGCAGAAGACCAGAGACTTATTCGTCTAGATGGTGAAAGCGAGCCGTTGGAAACAACGATTTTAGTATACAATATCTTTGGAGAAAAAACCTCATCTAGAAGTTTAGACAAATTTCATAAAGACGTCATTAAAATCCATTAGAAAATGATAACAATAAACATGTTAGAAAGTAATATGTTCTACAGACAGAAATGCCACTGGATCACGTCTGTTTTGATTATTAAAAAATATACCTCTATAATTATCAAAGAAGCCAATAATGAGAGTGCAGTAGTTGTAGAAAATAATAGAGATTTCTGTTGAGAATGTATATATATGTAAAGGTAAGTATACAGTTCTAGGTAGTATTTTAGGACTACTGGGTTATATTTAATAGTATTGGGTCATACTTTTATGTGGCAGTAATGGGCAATATTAGGTTGTATCGTGCAGCTGTCAATTATTCTGAATCAAATCGAATGTATTCCGAGAAAAAACGGCTGACAGAAAGTAAATTACTTCTGTTTACGTAATATATCACAGTATCAAAGTATTAGTGGGTGCATAACTGGGTTGTTTTTGGGTAGTATTAGATAGTATTGGGTCATACTTTTATGTGGGTTGTTTTTGGGTAGTATTAGATAGTATTGGGTCGGTATCAGAGACGGTAATTTTAGTCCATTTATATTCGCCTCCGGTCGTATTTGGTCCTAGCACGACGTTGTTTCTAGCCTCGGTATGATGGTCAACTTTTCTGCATCAGATTGCATGTTCTCTGAGGAAATACGGCAGAAAGAAAGTAAAATACTCTGTTTTAGGTGATATTTTACAGCGCCAAGGTAGTATTGGGAGCGGCAAAGTTACAGTATACATGTAAAGGGGAATAACTCGAGAACATTTACTGATCAGTACGCTGTCGGTCGAACTGACGAACCCAGGACAACAAATATCTGGTGTAATATGGTAAATAAATGTAAACTGAAGATTATTAACTAATTTGATATTTGCACTGGGTAGTACTGTGTCGTATTTGGCAGTATTCGGTTGGTATTAGGTCAAATTTAGAAGAATTAGGTAGTATTGGGTAGTATTGGGTCATAGTCACGGTATTTCGGTGAAGTTTTCTGTACCAAAAAGGTAGTGTTGGGTAGGTAGTATTGGGTGGGTAGTATTGGGTAGTATGGGGTAGTATTGGGTAGTGTGGGGTAGTATTGGGAAGTGTGGGGTAGTATGGGGTAGGGTAGTATGGGGTAGGGTAGTATGGGGTAGTATTGGGTGGGTAGCATTGGGTAGTATGGGGTAGTATATGGTAGTATTGGGGGGTAGTATGGGGCAGTATTGGAGTATTGGGTAGTATTGGGTCAAAAGACCCAAGGTAATAACGAACTTGAACTTGAACTTGGGTTGTATTTAGACGCGCCCGTTTTCGCAAGCTAATTTGCTTAAATGCCATTCTTTATACAAACTTCATAATCATGCACAATAAACAAAGAGTGAGGCTAACTTTGAAATTCAGCCATATGTATGCATATAATATATTAGCGTACTAATATTATGTCCCGACTTTTTTGGAACTTAGTCAATATTCTATATTAAAGAAAGGCAAAGGCTGAGTTTAAAGTTGAGCAAATTCTGTGAATAATTAATCATTATTCTCTTGATTGATTGGATTGATTCCGCACAATACCTGATTGAAATTTGACCGGATATAGATGATAAGTGGAGTCTGCTAAGACCAAGCACCAGTGGTACCATATTATTTGGCTGTTTTGTAGAGAGTTCCGGTTTGTAGAGAGAAACATTGTTTCTTAATTTCTGTTAAGAATATAATATATCTTATCCATGCTATATGACCCTTCCCTCCCAAACGAGTCAGTCATGTGTGTAATATATTACCTGTATCAGCCCAATGTGTTATAACATAACTCGTATCAGCCCTGTGACATCACAGCCTGTATCAGCCAAGTTAAAATATTCAGATTGACTCTGTATTCCAGTTTAAATTGCGACTAATCCCTAACAAATATGTGGTCTGCTATTGGAGACAAGTTTATAGACACACACGCAAACACAATGCGTCAGCTAGATGACTAAGCAGAAAAAATCATCAGGAAAAACATTTGCAAATTTCATTGTGGACCAGATGTCCGTCAGAAACGCAGAAAACACAAACTACAAACCAGAAACACTTGGTTCACACAGAGAAGAAATATTCCTTTTACATAATAAATGACAATTTATTCAGTAGATGTAACAATCTATATTTATCATATTTACTTGTTCAGAATACTATGAATTTTATTGTAACAGTGATAAATTATTATTAATTAAATTTGAAATTTTGTTTCTAAATATTATCTGTAGCATCTCTGTTGTATTCTTAACTAGAATATCATAAATAGTTTAAAACATGGCTATTTTCCTATCATACCCCATATTGAACTTTGATCCCGATCTCAGCCCTCGGGCTTACAGTATATCAGGATCTTCGGTCGCAACCCTAATGGGCTGATATCAGGATCTTGATTTGCGATATTGACTTGATGTTACTATTTTTAGAAAACAGATGGTTAATATTTACTTATGAAGTCATTTCAATTTTAACATCACAATGCTCCCCTCCAAATGCAGTACTTTCCCCTGTACAATGTTCATATGTTCCATCTTGTTTAATTATTAAAATATTACTAAGCGGTGGATATGTGGTTATATGGACCCGAGAAACTGAGATTGACTGAGATGAAGGTCAGTATTACTTTCTCAGGTCCATATAATTCTTTTGACAACATATTCACCTAAATAAAAGTCTCTTACTTGATAACAATATGAAAATGGTCATGTGTAAAAGATGTGCATTGATTAGGTTGCCTTACAAGCGTCAGCTGTAGGGAATTTCCCCTTAAGCTCAGCGGTAATGCCATACCATAATACTTCAACCAAATTTTGATGGGGGTTTAAAAATATCATAATCTCAGCCAGGTGTCAAGCTAAAATGCAAGTACTTATCTTGGTTTAACTTCAAATTTGATGGCTGAAGATTAACACTTTAATGGAATATAGCAAAACTTCAGAAAAATATTAAGTGGTCGAAAACTTCTTACATTTTGTTTCATATCTATATTTGTAATGCTAACCTGTCGATGTTGTGCCATCGCTACTCTGCTCAGTACCGCTTACAGTGACTCCTTCCTCTTCCTCATCTACTACCTCATCCTCTACTGTTATAGGTAATGCTTCAAAACAAAAAAACATTTCACACTCTAAAGTAAAGTCAGGCTGGTCAGTAGGTTTAACAATAGAAAGTTGCAACAGAGGAATTATTATGATAATTTAAGTTTACCTCTGAATCAGGTTACAACAGGTTCCTTGTGGATTGCTTGCATTTGTTAGATACATGTATCTGCCTAATTAGCTGAATCACAAAATTACACTTTAATGGAATATAGCTAAACTTCAGAAAAATATTAAGTGGTCAAAAACTTCTTACACTTTGTTTCATATCTAGATTTTTAATGCTAACCTGTCGATGATGTTCCATCGCTACTCTGCTCAGTGCCTATTACAGTGACTCCTTCCTCTTCCTCATCCTCTACTGTGACAGGTAAGGCTTCAAAACACACAAAAAAACATTTCACACTCTAATGTAAAGTCAGGCTGGTCAGTAGGTTTAACAATAGTAAGTTGAAACAGAGGATTTATACTGATCATTTAAACAGTTTACCTCTGAATCAGGTTTCAGCAGGTTCCTTGTGGATTACTTGCATTTGTTAGAAAACCTGCACTTTTTATGTAAATCATGACGGACGGACGACGGACGCCACAGTATGGCATAAGCTCGGACCCGGTAAGCTATAAATTGATTTCTCTTTACCAGATGATGCTTTATATAGGTAATTTGGACAAAATCCTGCCATTCCTATAAAAAAGAAGGATTTGGAAGAATTTGCTATATTTCCCCATATATGCCAGCTCCTCTGGCCTCTGGTAGGCCAGACCTACAGTTTACACAAAACTTGTTGCACTCAGTTGACCTTTGACCTTGAAGAGAAGGTCACAATGATCCAATGACAGAGCACTGCACTTTGTCATAGGGGTGAGATGGAATACAGCAACATTCATTAAGATATCTTTAACGGTTTAAAAGTTATCATCTGATAAGAAATTATTAGAAAATTTGTCTTTTGACCTTTGACCTTGTGATTAAGGTCAATAAAACTCGATTCAAAATTGCGATAATTGTCCTTTGATATGTTTTATGATGAAATGTATACGACAGAGAAGTCGTAACTGTCACGTACATTTATTACATTCAAACGGAATACGTATATACACGAACGCCGTGCGAGTGCATTGCATTCTTATTGTGAAGTGGTAGGGGATGTATTTGTTGAAAATGGGTAAAATATCTGTTTTCATTCTAATTACACTATTATATAGGGGGGGGGNCGAGGGGTTTCCACTTGATTTAGCATACAGATCAAACGGTTCCTTTCCTGTATAGGCGACAGTCTATTTTGTGCATTGGGACTTCGTTGGCCACTAATCCCCAAGAACCATGAATAACTTATGTTTTAAAAACAAACTGAACAGTTCTTTATGAATATTAATTGCGACAAGATGTCGTTTTGGCCATTACCATCCTCTAAAATAAGGTGAACTTAGTTCACGGTATATGCTTAATAATGTTAGCTACGTAAATAGATTTTACTTATGAAGGAAGAAAGGAAGACCATTTCACTTAATTAAACAAGATACAGGTCGAGAGCATCCCATCAGGTCCGTATAACAATGTATCAGCGATATGAAAGTAATCATTTATTATGACAAACTTTGGACTTAAGTCCGTTTCATGATCCCGGGGCCCGGGCATCGTCCGTACACTATGAATAATAAACGAGAATATTGGCCATGTACCGAATTCTTTAAAGAACATTCATATAATAATATGTACAACCCTAATATGTATTGGATGCATTGAGAAATCGTCAAGTGGAGGTAGGTCCATCATTATTTCATCAACAAACAGCCTACCGAAATCACTCGGCGAAACAATTCACAGACAATTAACTAATCATTCGTCTCTGATATGGGCTAGACACCATAGATATGGAATACATACGTATACTCGGTAAACAAATATGCAAATGTGTATTTATTTACTTAACATTATTATCTAGTGCTGATTTACCGTAGCTTATCCCTATAGATTACAACCGAAATCTCGATTAGAATAGTTTATCTTCTAAGATCGTTTCATTCCGTTTCGTTTTCAATCATTCCTCGCGTTTCGTTTCTCCTATTTTCAATCCATTCCGTTCCTGTGAGAAAAGCATGTTTCGTTCCGTTCTATTCGCGCTTCGTTCAAAACAGTGAAACTATTTTCGTTCCGTACCGTTAAGGCCCTGTTTCATTCCGTTTTCATTCCGTTCTCGTTGCGTTTTCATTGCGTTTTCATTCCATTCCGTTTGTCAACTAAAACTATAACTAAGTCCCAAATCTGGGGAAAACAGTTTTTGAAAAACAATCTTCTAAACAAAATGTTATCAACATGTCGTTTATAAGTATGTATATATATGTAGGTGTGTTGTGCAGGTTGAATTTCATAAAAAAAAATCAAAAAAAATCTCTCATCGCCAATATAGAAACAGTAACCTCGTGATCGGATTATTTTCACATGGCCAAGTTGCCCTAAATTAATCCGCATAATATAAGCCCTGCGAAATTTAACAAATATACGATATTATTATATATCCGATTGTTGGCAGATTATTGCTATTTAAATATCAGATAAGTGACATCATTTTCAAAAGTGATCAACAGAGGTGTGTATTTTAGGATTTAAATATATAACCAAAGGTAAACATTTAAAAAGGTGAACAACTTAATGTAGACTGCATCAACCTGAGTTAATGATTTTCCAACGTTTTAGAGGTATGTATTCTACAATAATATATAGACATGTGTTGATTACTTCTGTATTCTCTCAATGAAGTTCTACTAGAGGTGCTTTCGTTCAGATATTTCATTTCATATTAGACAATATATAAAAGATAATCTAATCATTTTGATTAGTGTCACGCAATGCCTTGTTGATGAAAGTTGAGAAAGACTTTAGGAAGATGAAAGTAACACACACACAGGTGTATGTACATTTAACAATGAGTTATATACATAGTAAGTTATAGACATAGTAAGCTATAGACACAGTAAGTTATAGACATAGTAAGTTATAGACACAGTAAGTAACAGGCATGGTAATTTATAGACATAGTAAGTTATATACTTACTATGTCTTTAACTTACTATGTTTAGAACTTACTGTGTCTATAACTTTCTATGTCTATAACTTACTATGTCTATAGACATAGTAAGTTATATACATAGTAAGTTATAGACACAGTAAGTTATAGGCATGGTAAGTTATAGACATAGTAAGTTATTTACATAGTAAGTTATAGACACAGTAAGTTATATACATAGTAAGTTAAAGACATAGTAAGTTAAAGTCATAGTAAGTTATAGACATAGTAAGTTATAGACATAGTAAGTTATAGACACAGTAAGTAACAGGCATGGTAAGTTATAGACATAGTAAGTTATAGTCATAGTTAGTTATAGACATAGTAAGTTATAGACATAGTAAGTTATAGACACAGTAAGTTATAGACACAGTAAGTTATAGACATAGTAAGTTATAGACACAATGAGTTATATACATAGTAAGTTATAGACATAGGAAGTTAAAGTCATAGTAAGTTATAGACATAGTAAGTTATAGACATAGTTAGTAATATACATAGTAAGTTAAAGTCATAGTAAGTTATATACATAGTAGGTTATAGACATAGTAAGTTATAGACATAGTAAGTTATAGACATAGTTAGTAATATACATAGTAAGTTATAGGCATGGTAAGTTATAGACACAGTAAGTTATAGGCATGGTAAGTTATAGACACAATGAGTTATATACATAGTAAGTTATAGACACAGTAAGTTATAGACAAAGTAAGTTATATACATAGTAAGTTATAGACATAGTAAGTTATAGACACAGTAAGTTATAGACAAAGTAAGTTATATACATAGTAAGTTATAGACATAGTAAGTTATAGACATAGTTAGTAATGTACATAGTAAGTTATAGGCATGGTAAGTTATAGACACAGTAAGTTATAGACATGGTAAGTTATAGACACAATGAGTTATATACATAGTAAGTTATAGACACAGTAAGTTATAGACACAGTAAGTTATAGACATAGTAAGTTATAGACATAGTTAGTAATATACATAGTAAGTTATAGACATGTTAAGTTATAGACACAGTAAGTTATAGACACAGTAAGTTATAGACATAGTAAGTTATAGACATAGTTAGTAATATACATAGTAAGTTATATACATAGTAAGTTATAGACACAGTAAGTTATAGACACAGTAAGTTATATACATAGTAAGTTATAGACATAGTAAGTTATAGACATAGTTAGTAATATACATAGTAAGTTATAGACATAGTTAGTAATATACACAGTAAGTTATAGACATAGTAAGTTATAGACACAGTAAGTTATAGACACAGTAAGTTATAGACATAGTAAGTTATAGACACAGTAAGTTATAGATATAGTAAGTTATAGACATAGGAAGTTAAAGTCATAGTAGGTTATAGACAGAGTAGGTTAAAGACATATTAAGTTACAGACACAGTAAGTTATAGACACAGTAAGTTATAGAATATACATAGTAAGTTATATACATAGTAAGTTATAGACACAGTAAGTTATATACATAGTAAGTTATATACATAGTAAGTTATAGACACAGTAAGTTATATACATAGTAAGTTATATACATAGTAAGTTATAGACACAGTAAGTTATATACATAGTAAGTTATATACATAGTAAGTTATAGACACAGTAAGTTATAGACATAGTAAGTTTTAGACACAGTAAGTTATAGACATAGTAAGTTATATACATAGTAAGTTATATACATAGTAAGTTATAGACACAGTAAGTTATAGATATAGTAAGTTATAGACATAGGAAGTTAAAGTCATAGTAGGTTATAGACAGAGTAGGTTAAAGACATAGTAAGTTACAGACACAGTAAGTTATAGACACAGTAAGTTATAGATATAGTAAGTTATAGACACAGTAAGTTATAGACACAATAATTTATAGACATAGTAAGAAAAAAGTAAAATTACATTACATCATGAGTTGAGACATTGGTCTTTCTATCAATAGTGACGTGGTCAGCCAATTTTAAATATTTACGTATCAGTAAGTTATAGACATAGGAAGTTAAAGTCATATTAGGTTATAGACAGAGTAGGTTAAAGACATATTAAGTTACAGACACAGTAAGTTATAGACACAGTAAGTTATAGAATATACATAGTAAGTTATATACATAGTAAGTTATAGACACAGTAAGTTATAGGCATGGTAAGTTATAGACATAGTAAGTTAAAGACATAGTAAGTTATAGACACAATGAGTTATATACATAGTAAGTAAGTTATAGACATAGTAAGTTATAGACATATTAAGTTACAGACACAGTAAGTTATAGACACAGTAAGTTATAGACATAGTATGTTATAGACACAATGAGTTATAGACATAGTAAGTTATAGACATAGTAAGTTATAAACATAGTAAGTTATAGACATAGTAGGTTATAGACATATTAAGTTACAGACACAGTAAGTTATAGACACAGTAAGTTATAGAATATACATAGTAAGTTATATACATAGTAAGTTATAGACACAGTAAGTTATATACATAGTAAGTTATATACATAGTAAGTTATAGACACAGTAAGTTATATACATAGTAAGTTATATACATAGTAAGTTATAGACACAGTAAGTTATATACATAGTAAGTTATATACATAGTAAGTTATAGACACAGTAAGTTATATACATAGTAAGTTATATACATAGTAAGTTATAGACACAGTAAGTTATAGACACAGTAAGTTATAGACATAGTAAGTTATAGACACAATAATTTATAGACATAGTAAGAAAAAAGTAAAATTACATTACATCATGAGTTGAGACATAGGTCTTTCTATCAATAGTGACGTGGTCAGCCAATTTTAAATATTTACGTATCAATATTATGTTCCGGTTTGCTTGGGATAAAGATATATATACATAGAAAATTATATTTGTTTGATATCGACTTTCAACCTTAACGCGATTTTAAAGAATGGACAACCATTCTGTATTTTATAATAGCATCAGCGTACATCATAATTGTATTGATTTATAAATACAACCTACCGTTCTGTCGTTTATATAACCGCGCACCACCAGGCGAAGGACATCTTGTAACAGCACTGACGTCTTCAATAAACCCCTTACACTCCCCGGTTTGTTTGTCGAAAGAAAACGCTTTCCAGTGATCAACATGTGAGAGAATTGCACAATCTCGAAACCTCCCAGATATAACATTGGACGTCTCCGACATCTCTGACAAACACGTCACGAATTTATAAATACTTCCAGCGTTTGTAGCAGAAGATAGATAAAAAAACCAATAAATATCGAATAAGATATCACATATTCTCATTGTGACAAAAAGTAACAATTCCTTTTACGCATAAAGAAAATTATGTTCTTGTTCAATCCAAACGGGTCCGTTCCTTTATAGGCGACGGCTTTTTTTGTGCATTGGGACTTCGTTGGACACTAATCCCGAAGAACCATGAATAACTTATGTTTCAAATATAAACTGAACAGTTCTTAATAAATATTCATTGCAACAAGATGTCGTTTTGGCCATTACCAGCCTCTATAATAAGGTGAACTTAGTTCACGGTATGGTAGCAGTGTACAGTAGTGTACGTGGCCATGGGTGATATTTGTGTACAATGAATAACCCCTGTAATATTACATGTATCAAAAGTTAAAAAAAAAAAAAAAACAGCTTTAAAAATGGCATATACATGATGAATTGGACTATGTGGGCTTCACATTTAAAAAAAAAATCGAATTTGGCTTGAGACTACATTTTTGGCCATTTACAAATCTGTGTCTACACAACACAAGCTAGCTTTTCATATAGTCTATTTTTTCCTCAGCACATGTATACATATTGTTTGAAATCTGGTTGAACGACCTATGCTAAAACGTGAGTATCTGCGACCGAGTAGGTGATATTTAATTTAAGACAGGTTTTAAGAAAAAAACATACTACTTGCGTGGGTCAAATTTAGGGTTAAAACTCATGTTTATTTGCATTTTTTGGCGTTTTTCATGTGGTAACCATGGATTTCCCAAGTCCCAAATCTGGGGAAATCACTTTTTGAAAAAATATTCATTCTTCTAAAAAAAAAGTATTCAAAATGTAGTTTATAAATATATATATATGTATGTATGTAGGTGTGTTGTGCAGGATGAATCCGCTATCCATGTTTATCCGAGACATGCCACTTTATTTTTAGGTCAAGCCATTTCCACTATACTTTGCTACCTATATGCTTAATAATAACAGCTACGTAAATATATTTTACTTATGAAGGAGGAAAGGATGACCATTTCACTTAATTCAAACAAGATACAGGTCGGAAGCATCCCATCAGTTCCGTATAACAATGTATCAGCGATATGAAAGTAATCATTTATTATTACTCCGAGTCATTGTTAATTTCAAAGATTCAAATAGATGAACTGGTTCTTCTTTATTAACAATAATGACCAATCTGATTAAAATACGTTATAACTGTTCAAAAGGTGTGATACAGTAGTTGCTGACTTACTTCAGTGAACGTCGGCATCTTACCATACATACAGTTTGTTGTGTTACTACCCTGGCCCCGGTATCATGAAACGATCTGAAGTATTTGTCCTAAGTTTTGTCTTGACCAATCATTAATAACGTTATGAAAAAATACGTCATACGTGATTGGCCAAGCAAAACAATAAGTATAAGATTATTTTATGATCTCGGGGCCTAATCGTATTACACTAAAACATACAGCAGATACATTGCAGCTACTTCGGCACCTCAAGTCATTAGTTTTATCCACTGATAAAAAACGACAAGTTGAAATACGAATTTATACCGAATATAGTTGCGGCGTTTTTGTTTAGATATAAGGAACCAGATAGAAAAGTTAGTCTAAAATAATCTACGAAATCGAACCACACATATCTATAAACAACTAGAGAAATGTAACCTACACCACACATGGCTATAAACAACTAGAGATATGTAACCTACACCACACATGACTATAAACAACTAGAGATATGTAACCTACACCACACATGTCTATAACAACTAGAGATATGTAACCTACACCACACATGTCTATAACAACTAGAGAAATGTAACCTACACCACACATGTCTATAACAACTAGAGAAATGTAACCTACACCACACATGTCTATAAACAACTAGAGAAATGTAACCTACACCACACATGTCTATAACAACTAGAGAAATGTAACCTACACCACACATGGCTATAAACAACTAGAGAAATGTAACCTACACCACACATGTCTATAACAACTAGAGAAATGTAACCTACACCACACATGGCTATAAACAACTAGAGAAATGTAACCTACACCACACATGTCTATAACAACTAGAGAAATGTAACCTACACCACACATGGCTATAAACAACTAGAGAAATGTAACCTACACCACACATGTCTATAACAACTAGAGAAATGTAACCTACACCACACATGGCTATAAACAACTAGAGAAATGTAACCTACACCACACATGTCTATAACAACTAGAGAAATGTAACCTACACCACACATGGCTATAAACAACTAGAGAAATGTAACCTACACCACACATGTCTATAACAACTAGAGAAATGTAACCTACACCACACATGGCTATAAACAACTAGAGAAATGTAACCTACACCACACATGTCTATAACAACTAGAGAAATGTAACCTACACCACACATGGCTATAAACAACTAGAGAAATGTAACCTACACCACACATGTCTATAACAACTAGAGAAATGTAACCTACACCACACATGGCTATAAACAACTAGAGAAATGTAACCTACACCACACATGTCTATAACAACTAGAGAAATGTAACCTACACCACACATGGCTATAAACAACTAGAGAAATGTAACCTACACCACACATGTCTATAACAACTAGAGAAATGTAACCTACACCACACATGGCTATAAACAACTAGAGAAATGTAACCTACACCACACATGTCTATAACAACTAGAGAAATGTAACCTACACCACACATGGCTATAAACAACTAGAGAAATGTAACCTACACCACACATGTCTATAACAACTAGAGAAATGTAACCTACACCACACATGGCTATAAACAACTAGAGAAATGTAACCTACACCACACATGTCTATAACAACTAGAGAAATGTAACCTACACCACACATGGCTATAAACAACTAGAGAAATGTAACCTACACCACACATGGCTATAAACAACTAGAGAAATGTAACCTACACCACACATGTCTATAACAACTAGAGAAATGTAACCTACACCACACATGGCTATAAACAACTAGAGAAATGTAACCTACACCACACATGTCTATAACAACTAGAGAAATGTAACCTACACCACACATGGCTATAAACAACTAGAGAAATGTAACCTACACCACACATGTCTATAACAACTAGAGAAATGTAACCTACACCACACATGGCTATAAACAACTAGAGAAATGTAACCTACACCACACATGTCTATAACAACTAGAGAAATGTAACCTACACCACACATGGCTATAAACAACTAGAGAAATGTAACCTACACCACACATGTCTATAACAACTAGAGAAATGTAACCTACACTACACATGGCTATAAACAACTAGAGAAATGTAACCTACACCACACATGGCTATAAACAACTAGAGAAATGTAACCTACACCACACATGTCTATAAACAACTAGAGAAATGTAACCTACACCACACATGTCTATAAACAACTAGAGAAATGTAACCTACACCACACATGTCTATAAACAACTAGAGAAATGTAACCTACACCACACATGTCTATAACAACTAGAGAAATGTAACCTACACCACACATGTCTATAAACAACTAGAGAAATGTAACCTACACCACACATGTCTATAAACAACTAGAGAAATGTAACCTACACCACACATGTCTATAAACAACTAGAGAAATGTAACCTACACCACACATGTCTATAAACAACTAGAGAAATGTAACCTACACCACACATGTCTATAAACAACTAGAGAAATGTAACCTACACCACACATGTCTATAAACAACTAGAGAAATGTAACCTACACCACACATGTCTATAAACAACTAGAGAAATGTAACCTACACCACACATGTCTATAAACAACTAGAGAAATGTAACCTACACCACACATGTCTATAAACAACTAGAGAAATGTAACCTACACCACACATGTCTATAAAAACTAGAGAAATGTAACCTACACCACACATGGCTATAAACAACTAGAGAAATGTAACCTACACCACACATGTCTATAAACTATTACGAAAAAGGTAACATGGCGTAATGCAGTAGGATCTTTAGAGGATTCATTCTTAACATATATTTGACCGATTTGGTAAGGGGAAAGATAAACCTACCAAGGAAAAGACGCGCAATTAATCTCAAAAATATTTATTAGAAGAAAATAAGTAATTGGTGAAAAATGCCAATGTTTGCTTTAAAAGTGTGTTTTTTTCTTCTCTTTTTTAAATATTATAATAGAGAAGTGTAGTTCGACTTGAATATGCAAACAGTTGCTACTGATAATTAGGCCACCACTCGAGGGAGACTTGAAAGTATTAAAAAGCCTTAAATATTATAGCTTAAAGAGGGTCTAAAAATGGAAATTCGATTTACGATTCCCATATGTTCCGTTCAGTCACGTTATGTTACAATGTGTGTATACGTATAGTTGTTAGATTTCTATTATTAACGTATTGCATTAAATATTCCATCATACGTGACACATCGTAGATATTCAAACAAAACACCTTAATATTTTATCAGGTTTTACCAATGTTTGTTTTAAAAGTGTTTCTTTGCTTTTTCTTTTGTACATTAAAATAGAGTGGTGATTTTTTTTCTTTTTTTTTAAACAAACATGTGAGTAGCGAAGATCAGATAAACATGTTTAATTTCAAAACGAGATAACGAATATATGATATGGAATATGTGATATATATCATGTCAAAAAGGGTAAGGTGGGTTAAAAGACGTCAGAGTCTATAGAATAGACCGATGTCTTTCAACTAGTTAAATAATGCCTTCGAGTCCACGGAACTGAAAAGAGTTCTAACCCTATACAACCACCCAACAACTTATATATACTGCATAAAAAAAACAAAATGCAAACAGATAAAATAACGCTCAGTGATAAAACAAACGACAACGCACCTGCTAATATGATAAAGAGAGTTATGTTAAATTACACGTAAGATGTTAAACAGAATAAAAACAAAACCCA